GACTGTACAAGTGGGCATGACAAAACATCGACTGCACCAGGCGTTGCACGTATTTCTTCTGTTGATGTGTCAAGAACTGGGGCTCCACTTCGTCCGCCATCAACTCCCACTGCTCCATGACCTAGTCGGCGTCATCGCTCAGCATGGACAAGAAGTCGTCCACGCGGAGCTTTCTCATCGGAGGGGTAATGAATGGAACTGAAAACGGCGCATGATTCCGTTACGCCACCGCTGCCACAATGAAATGCACCGCGTGCTTTGGGTACTTGATCACCACACTTGCCGTCACATATGATCGTCTTGAACCAGGTAAACTCCCAGTGGTTTTTCAGGTCTGTCGATAAGCTCATGGGGTAGCAGTGCCGAAGGGTTTTAAGTCTGGCACTCATACTGTAAGTTGGCCCAACGCTTGACCCTGATGGGACACCTCGACGGTTCTTGACCTCGATCCCCAGCATGAGCCGCTTGACTAGAAGCGCATCCGCAGTCCCGTTACGATGAGTCTTCGTCGACGTCTACCAACTGATATTGGAAGTCGTATCGGTCCTTAACTCCTTCAAACGCTGTCGCATGTACTGTACGTCATAATCGAATCTCACACAGTTTTCCATTTTTTCGCACTGACCTCGCCGAGACATTTGATTGTATTTCTTATCGCTGATTGGGTATAATTTGCATATCCACGTCCTTATATGTTAGCCAATCAAATGTCGCGGCGTGGTTGTAGCGAGGTTGTAGAGATTCACAGCAGTAACGATAACGCCAGCTTAACAGTAAGCAGTGGCACAAGACACACTGCCAGTGTGTCGTGGACTGTGAATTGCTCGTTCGCAGTCAGGCCCCGATGTTGCCGAACAACGACGACAAACTCAAGGGTGACGAACTCAAGGGTCACACTAGGGCGAGCCATGTTGGCGGAACACTGCAAGTGGCGCTGAATTTCTACTCCCATAGTAGTGACGGAGGCCTTCCTTACTCGACGTTTGGTCCGCAGAGAGCTAGATTTTCAGGACCTATGGGCAACATCGTCAGCACACCACACGTCGTGGAGTTACTCGACATGCGTGGGCAAGAGTGTGCGTTTGACTTGGACCTCCATGGCTTCGTGCCACTTGGAAACGTGCCTTCTTTGGCAACGGACCTGCTCGATGAGCATGGAGAGATCGCAGACTTGGTCGAAGACACACTCAGACTCGTCACGGCACACGTGGATGCGGTGGTGCGTGGACTCATTCCATCTACTGAAAGCCTATCGATCTTCACAACAATGACACGCTGCTCAAATCCGCACAACTCGGCACACAGCCAACGACGGCCATCTCCGTTAATTCACATCGACCACACCCCCACGTCCGGCGCATCGTTCCTCACCAAGTTCCCACCCGACATCCAAAACGACATCCAAAGCGGCCGCCTTCGCGTGCGCATTTTGAGCGTGTGGCAACCTCTAGTGCCCAAAGTGTTGGACTGGCCACTGGCACTGGCAGATGCGCGAACCTGTCCGCCGACAGCGCTGCTGGATTCCGAGACTAGGCTCGCTCATGGCAACATTGGAGCCATGTCTCTTATGACATACGACCCGACCGTTCAGTGGTGGTACTGGAGTTCGATGACACATTCAGAGGTTCTCGTGATCAAGAACTACGACTCGAAGGACAGCCAAGGCCGCACGCCGCACACGTCCTTCTTCGACCCGCGTAGTGTCTCGTCCCCAGGCGTCTTCCGCAAGAGCGTCGAAGCTCGGGTCATCGTCGCCTCGACGATGTAGATTAACTTCGTTACGCTCATGCGACCTACGAATATCCACCAAATGCACTTCATTTATGTAACTGTCAAACGAACGGTTACCCTGGGTACTTTATCAACCGGTTACTCCGGATAAAGTCATCATTGGCGGTTTCAATTGACAACAAGAAGTTTCCATCATCGTCTAGTCGCCGCCGAAACATGACGGTATCCCCTACCAAGCACAACCAAGAGCTCACGACGGCGTCATCATCTGGACCCGTCCACGCCAGTGTGCTCCAATCTGGGAACGAAGCGGCGCTGGTCAGTGCCAAGGCGCGATGTGAAAGTCAAATGATAGCCAAGGACTTTCAAGGGGCATATGCTACCATCGTCGAGTGCATCAAGGATGCCGTGGGAGTGTATGGGAAGAGTGCGCTCAGTCTTGTGCCGTACTACTTGTGCATGGCTGAAGTGGGGCTTGAGCTGAGCCACATGAACCAAGTGGAGGAGGTGCTCGCGCTGTGCATTTGGAACATCGTCAAGGCGGCCGAGGACGACGCTGCCAACGAGCCCAAGACGCTCGTGCATCGCGCGGTGGTGTGCAAGTTGTTTGGACGGTACCACTGTGAATGCGAGCAGTTTGACGAAGCCGTGAAACAAGCAGCCAACGGCGCGTACTACGCTTCGGTAATCCACGGCCCCGAGCACATTCAAACGTCGACTTTGTACTTTACCCTTGGCGCGATCTTTCAAAAGATGTTTCGAACTGAAGAGGCGCTCGGGATGTACGACAAGGTGGTGGAAATTTGGTTCAAGCACTTGGCCGCGGCGACGCGGCGCCAACGGGGTGGTCACGATGACGACGACGACGACGGCGGCAGGGACGTTGTGGGAGCATCCAATGGCACCATCCACCCCGGTCCTTCGTCCGCGTTGCCGGCACATGCTGCGAAGGACACCGCAAGCCCAAACACTGAACGCATCTACCACGAAGGCTTGGCCATGCTAAAGCAAGTGCTATCGACCAGAACCAAGGTACAGTTGATTTGCCAATACAGATATATAGGAAACAGCAATGTGACGAGGCGGGGGTGGTAGATTCTAGGCGATACCCACATTGCCACTGGCGAGGTGCAGTATACCGTGGTACGAATCTGCTTCCGATGCTTCTTAGTGTGTCGAGCTGGAAACTTATGAATGTATGACGTGTAGGGACTGCTGAGTTTTTACATGAACGACCACGACTCGGCCAAGGCAGCGATTGAGAGCGCATTCAGTATTTACACGGATGCTTTGGTATATATATATATATTTACTCCACTACTCCCATGCATGTGTCCATATTCAGCTTGTGATGTCAATGCAAGTCGTACTACCCACACTATTTTGTTATTAGGGCTCGCTGCATCCATCTACCATGGACGTGCAAACCATTTTGGACCAGTTGGCTTAATGTATGCTCTACAACGCTTTCTTCTTCTTCGATGACGTGGCAGCATGATGGTGTCGAAGGACGGGAGGTGGCTGTACCGTCCATTGCACTGTGGACAACATGGGGGTCTTAACCATCGACTCAAACGGATCCGGCGATTGGAAATACGTCGACCCGTACATGTGTTGCTACAATATTACCATGAGTTCGAAGTAATTAATAAGCAATGAATGCTCGCACTTTGCAATATTATGAATTTGCTATAAATACACAAATTTCCGAATTTTTCGCGATTCGTAAACCCGATCACAAATCTCGCCGCGACATTTGATTGGCTTTCCCGATTCCGCAAAAAGTCAAAAGAAAAATAGTGGAGCCAATCAGCGATGATATGGTTGGCGTGATTTGATTGAATAGAGTCTGGAATTTCGTACCAAATCAATACTATTAATAGTAATAATACTTTTGATATATAACGATAATAATAATAATGGCAGTGTTTGTAGCAAAAGAACGACATTTTGTGAATAGTTACTTGATCGGGCGGAAAGCGCAAGTTCAGTTTCCATGCATGGAGCATCATACGCGGAGCCAAGTCGTCGTCGCTGCCATACGTTACGTCGCCCACTACAACGGTCTTCAGTCTCGATTGATTCAACCTCTAATATATAGATATAGTACATCTGTAGTTGATGTTCTCAACTAACAATGATTACTTAATACGTGTACAATAATGTATGTACCAATGGGGTATCCGTGATGGCTAAGATGCAAGCGAAGCTGGTGGCGGCGTCCGCTCAGTGGCCGCAAGAGGACTTTGGTCACCGGATGTCCTTCCACCACCCCGTGGCCCAGCACAAACGCCACCGTCGTCGATATCTACATCACGACATACATTCACCACACACATAAATATATTACAAATATATATTATGTCTAGCCAAGTATGTACTACATCCAAGAAATAGGATTTTTCATACTTTGCCATTGGGGGATATTTCCATTTGAAACGAGTTTGTGGTCGAAGGTGAGATGGAATCGTCAAAGATATAACCCATGGGTTCGCTAGTGGAGGCCATGTTGTTGAGTCGGCTGCGTTTGGATGGACAAGAGAGATCCGACATGGATCGGGGGCGGGAGGACGCGGAAGTGCCGATGGGTCCAGCGGCAAACGCGTGGGGCTGCAGCAGGGGCAAGTCATAGCGCACATGGACGGGTAGCGTCTCCGCTTCCATCGCCTTCACTTGGGCGTCAAAACGAAGTCTACAGCCTTGTTACTGTATGTACTGTATATATTGTCGATTTGATACAAATTTGGGGAGGGGGTGCAATCGAATCGCGCCGACCAAACCGATCCGCAATAGATCTGATTGGTTGAATTTCATTTAGAAGGTTTTGATTGGCTAATAATTTTGAGCTCATCTCAAGTAGCCAATCAAATCGATTTCAATTCCAACGAGAAACCACAACACAATGAAATGTCACTCGAAAGTACAATATTGTACTGTGTTTCTACTAAACTGGAGCAACATGGAGAATAAATCGAACCAATCAAATACATGTACACAAGAATCATCGGCAGCCATATTTAGCCAATCCGATTGCAGGAAACCGTCCTCAACGTCAAATTAGTGTGAGAATTTAATTAGTGTGATATCAATCGCCACAGGACACGTTTTTCCATACAATATAGTACAAAGAATAATCAACCGATAGATTTGGCGAATCTTAGCACAAAAGTCAGCCAAATTTTGGGTAAAAGAGAGACTCTGGCGCCACTGGTCGTACTTGTCGGCGGCGGCGCGATCAAAGTACGTTTTCTGAACGTTGTCGCATAAATCGTTCCACTTTTTACCCAAAAACGTAGCGTCGGCTATGGTGGTGGCGGTGCCAGCAGCCGCGAGTTTCCGCCGAAGCACCCCTTGGTCCATGGCAAACAGGGACGGACCGGTGCGTGGCCCTACAAGCAACTTGCTGTGAAACGATCGCAGCAACGGTTGTACGATCATGGGCACGTGCCTTTGAACTGCTTGGTGAACTTGTGCTGGTGCTGTAGGATCACCTTCGGGTGGTCCTTGTCGTGGATGAAGTCGGGTACCCGTGACAGCGTACAACATTTGTGGCCACGGGGTGGAGTGAATGGCATCGTGCCGTGAACCAGCGCCAAGTACTCCTTCTCGGCGCACTTTTTGGCAAAGAGACCGCTCGCTGCCGCCGTGGACCTGCAGAGTATCATGGACGATCGCGTGAGAACACTCGCCGCGACCAAGATGGAGACGAGCGTACTCTTTCGTGAGGCCGACACACATGACGCCAGACGTTGCTACAGACCGATCACGTCCTTGTGAGCAACGGCAACATCAAGTTGGCGTACCAAAGTCCAGTTGATGGATCCAACGGAACTTGGCAATCTCGGGATAGTCACGATGCATGGCCTTTTCAATCGTGACGTTGAAGTCACCGTCGAGACGGACGTCGGGGTTCTATCGATGTCAGGTGATTCACCGCAAGTAAGGACGCTGTGTACCTTGTTGAGCACGAGAAACGCATCCGATTTCGCAAGGACGTTCAGCTGCAGGTCATCCAGCTTCAATGGTCCACCGCGTGGATCGTCTATGGCGTCGTTGTCTAGTTGTCCTTCCTCTTTTCGAGGAGGTTTCCACGCCGCCGACACCAACGGCGTGGATTTTGAGTGCTGCTGTTGCGGCAGTGGGTGGTCCGCAGACGAGGGCACTGATGCTGGTTGTTGACAGGGAACTGCGCTAGTTCCATGGATTGGCAGGCTTGAGGTTCGTCGTCTCGGCATCGTTATTATCTTCTCGAGCGCAGCCTTCGTCACGCGCAGCCTCAACATGCACGAAAAGGTAGAGTTTTCGCTCCACTGGTGCAATAATGCTACGTTCGAAATATAGTATTATAATAATATTCGATCCAATTTAATATTTTGCTCGTAAAACCACGAAATACCCTAAATAACGCTGTATAGGGTATTTAATAGCCTTTAAAATAATATTCGATCCAATTTAATATTTTGCTCGTACTTGTAAGTAATAAAGAAGACGTGAAGGAAAAACCACGAAATACCCTAAACAACTCTGTATAGGGTATTTAAAATTCATTGACGTTAGCTTGTAGCGTAGCGCTAAGTAGCCTCGACACCCATCGTCCCATACAGAGGTAGGGAAAAAGTAATTTTTATCACGAATTATTTAGTTATTTAAATAGAATAATTTATTCTGACTGGGTTGGGTGAGAGAATAAGTTATTTGCTGGAGACCAAGTCCGAATAAGTTTAGCGAGGTGCCTCTAGAAATGAATCAATTATTCATTATCACAGAATTATTCACATTACCATTCATTTCCTCGAAATGTCCTGAACCAGTCATTAAAGTCTCGATAAACAGCTCAATATCAAAACAATTCAAATTCTGATGTCCACGCACCACGACCGTCTCCGCGGCAAGCCCCTTGCAGTGTTCTATTTCACACGCACCTCGCCAGGAATTTCCGTTTGGGTGTGCAAGTGCGGCAAACACCGGACTCAAAATAGAAGTGGCTACAGCAATTTGATGTCGCATATTGAACGCGAGCACCCCGAGTTCGTTCACTTCGACGCCTTGGACCCAGCTACCCAACAAAGTGTAATCGCGTCGTCCACCCCCAAGCCAGTGCAAGCAGTCCATGGCTGGCTGACATGGATTACGGCGTCTCTGATGCCGTTTTCATTCTGTGAGAACGACATAGCCCGGCGTTTTACCACTCTGGGGACCATCAGCGTGAAGCCACTCATGAAATGGAAGCATGCCATGTGTCGCTGGATGGAAAGCAAGATATCCGAGACGCTACCCGAGTCGTTTGCAATCGTCTATGACGGATGGACCAGCGGCTCGACTCACTACGTCGCTATGTTCGCTACCTTTCCCAATAATTACCACCGAGGGTACGAGAAGGTTCTCTTGGCAATGTCGCCAATGAACGAAGAGGACTCGCTGAGCGCAGCGGCACATGTTCAGTACCTTAACTTTGTTTTGGGCGTGTACGCCAAGGACCGCGGGAATGTGGTGGCGTTGATTGGTGACAACTGCTCGACAAACCGTGCCTTTGCTCGCACTGCCGATGCCCCTATGATTGGCTGCGCGTCCCACCGCTTCAACTTGTTCGTTGGCGATGTACTGGCGGAATAGGAAGAGTTGCTCGTGGCCGTCAACGCAATCATGAAGAAACTGACCAACATCATCCAGACGACGACGGAAGTCCGATGCTGATTGCATGTCGATGGCGTCTCGTGCAAAGAAGCGGCGCAAGATGCAGCAGTCTTGCAGAGGGTTCATGGACTGCCGGTTCCTCCGACCGACCTCGAACATGTGCGAGCGCCTGTTTTCAGTGACGAAATGGGCTTTGACGGACCGCTGTCAGAGTATGCTGCCGTCCAACTTCGAAGAACAAATGTTCCTTCATTCCAACGCCTTTCTTTGGGGTATCGACGACGTCAAGAGTGTCATGGAAGGAGTAGCACAGGATGAGTAGCCTACTTGTAGGAAGTTGTTTTGTATATTAATCACAAAAACTGCAGTTTGATCTGAGCTCAAAAACGGTCTCCAAATCGCTTGGGGCGTACTGTGGGCCGAGATACGTCGATTTTTGTGTTTTAGCCATGGATCTTCGAAACTCGTGACTGGAATTTTTTATTAAAAGTTCATTGCACTTCACTATAGAAACGCACGAAAGTCTCGAATTGTATACCCAATCATAATGCAGAAGAGTTTGGTTCAGTCAATTACCATTCGACGAAAAATGCGCAAGCCTCTGGAAATAAATAGTTTTCAGCGGGTAGGGTTTACTTTAAGTTGCCGCAAATGTATTGGAGGGAAGGTTTGCTACATTGATAATGAGAGGTTTTGTTTGAATTATTCGAATAAATTATTCATCCTGTGTGGCTGAATGAATTATTCATTCAGGGTGGTCTCGAATTGGAAAAAGTAACCCTGAACCACACATACAACAAGTAAGTATAATTTATTGCTCGATCACTGGAATAAGTAAAAATAGTATTTTCCCTACCTCTGGTCCCATACCACTGTGTCGCCACTTCGCCGCACTATCGAACACGCGGCGGCTCGCTTCCAGCACATCGACCGCTACAACATAGTACCAGTGGCGTCATAGTGTGGTGTTGGCCTATTGTAGGCGAGGCTAGCCATACGAAAGATAGAGGACTCGGTGCCGAAAGCCAGCCTCATGCACCAGGTCATGAAAAGCGATAAGAAATACAGAAACTCCGGGAAGACAACCCCTGATTATGCAGCATACTTCACGACGCAAGCATGAGCATCGGCAGTCGCATCGGCAACGACAGCCTTACAAAGGTACGCTGAGCAACCCGTTGATTCGGAGGAGGATGGTGGCTAAAATATATATAATATTTGTACCAGCAGAGGGCGGCGATGTATTGCGAAGCAGCGTTGTCACTGGCAAAGGACGAGTTGTACGCTGTGCCATTCTCTTGCGCTTCGAATTGCGGCACCGTCGCCCACACACATGCAAAGGGCCAGCACCACCTTATACAATAGAACTTCAATAAATCTATAGTTAAAACCTAAAAATATATTTATCCCATGTACCATCACAAGGGCGTATTTGCCCAGTTGAGACAATGCGATGGGTAACCCCAGCATGGCATTCCATCTGGCCAGGATGCAAGTCGCTTGGAAGACCCCCGCGAGTTTGCGAACGACCCGAATGAGCTCTGGGTATTCCAACGACCATCACGATGAGAACCCCATAAGATCATGATCAACTAAACCAAGCCAGAGAGATCAGCAGTACCTTGACGGTGCTCAGTCCATTGCCCTTGGTGAACAAACTCTACGAAATGCTAAGTATGACCATTGGGTGTGGCGCGTATTCGTTCTGTAGGATCTAACAAATGACCGAATTATTCAGTCATGTGCAGTACATTTCGAAGGAATGATTTACTTGGCTAATTGTCGGGTCTGTGTGCGGATTGGTCTCTAGTTTGGACGAGTCGACCACGGAATTCAACCATCAAATGGCAACTACTGCTATATATATTATACTGTATTAAGGCAGATATGTTGTATTTTACACATTTGTAGGGCCATTTGAACGTTATACATTGACAAGGAGTCGATTCCTCGAACTACAGTATGACAGTCCGATTGCGCGAATTGTTTTGCACAGTCGCGACCTGTTCTTGCACAAACACTTCGCCCGAGTCTTGGGGTATATATATATATATATATAGCAACCACGGCTCCTTTTAACTTGCATATTGTGTGGCAACTAATAACGTTGATAATACCATGGAAACTAGGTATTTGTCGCCAGGATTACAAGGGGAACTGTGTGTCTATACAGCGGGCGAGTGGATTCAAATGGTCTGCACTTGTCAAATATATATATTCATTAGTTTGGGTACACTTTATGCTCTGGGGGGGGGACTCAAGGGGCCCATGGAAGCAGAAACGTATCCTCCGTAAGAGCTCTTACAGAGGATACGTTTCTGCTCCATGGGCCCCTTGAGTCCCTCCCCAGAGTCGAAACTTCCAACTAAATGCACATTATTCCAAGGTACGCTACATATATATATATATGTAGCGTAACTAATACTTCGAAGTAATAATAATAATAATGCTTGACATCTTGACAGGGCTCGTGGCGCATATGGTCGACGGGTGCTGCAGATGGACGACTTCTTTGGCGAAGATGTGATTCTCCACCATGTCGAGCCCAAGACGATATTCGATACAGCACATTGACATACTGCGATACTTACACAACATCACTTGAGAGGGTACTGTATCTCAACACGTGATATGGAGATGTTTGAAAGCTCGCCGACTTCAGTATCGCATGAATCTCTAATGTGATACTGAAGACGGGGAGCTTTCTGACCAAGGCGAAGCTCGTTCGTCGTGCGGTCATGTTCATGGCGATTCTGCGGCGCGTGAGTGTATATCATGGATTTTGGCATTTTGGCAATGCAGCGAACACAACGGTGTCTTTAACGATGCAATTATGATGATATAGTCGCTCTACTTTCAGCTGCTCGCGATACGAACGATGGGCAAGTTCCCCATAGACGAACAACAGGCGTGGTTACTACTGCGGTACGATCGGAGGTGGCTTGGCGTGACGAGATATGCATGTTGTCGGTAGACTCTTGGGGACAATGCCGTGGGGCTCCATCCAATTGCTCACTTGGCAGCCACAGTCTCACGCATTGCGGGGGTGATCATATGCATCGCATGACATATATCGTAGGTCTCGATAGCGAACGAAGTGATCGTCGCTGTCAGTCTCCTCGAAACTACAGCACGCATCCTCACACAACACACACAATCCACAAGTTATGTTATCCGTAGTCGACATAGATTATCCGGAAATTCATTTAGTCAAATAGGTGCATAATGTTGTACAATTTGGTGCGTGTTTAGGTTTAACTTCAAAATACAGGTGCTCTAATGTTAAAACTGACCCGTGTAATACATTAAACGTGGTGCATGTTTGAGGTCAAACGTTCGAGTGTTGGAAGGTTGTGTACTACGCGATGGAAAAGGCAGGATTGGCGCCGCGGCAGTCGTCATTCCTGTCCCGCGCCTTCTTCAGGAAGTCCTTGGCTCAGCTGCAAGATGAGATCCATCGGGACGTGCATGTTCGATCGCTGTCGCTGTTCGACTTGCTCATGATTGGGATCGGTGGAACCGTGGGCAGCGGGGTGTTTGCCACCGCAGGCTTGGTCCGTCCTCTAACGATACCTTCCATCTCATCCAACGTGCGTAGATCGCTCGATGTTACGCCGGTCCAGCAGCAGTGCTGAGCTGGATTTTCGCGGGCCTGGGGTGTGTCCTCACAGGGTGCGCCTTCATGGAGCTGTCTGGTTTGATTCCTACGCACGGAAGTACGTACGCGTATGCGTACCACGCCCTCGGCGAGTACCCCGCGGTGATTGCCGGGTTTCTCTTAACCCTCGAATACGGTATCGCATGTGCTGGGAATGCCCGCGCATGGAGCGCCAAGTTTGTCGTGTGGATGAAGCTCATGTTCGACGTCGACGGCCCAACGTGGATGAAGCCTCCGGGCACGTCCATCGATCTCTACGCGTGCTTTCTCATGGTAGCCTTCCATTCGTTCCTTCCTCCATTGATCATTTCTAGACCGCGTGCGTCCTCGTGGTGTTGGGCGGCATGGCCATCGGCAAGCGACTCATCAACGCCATCACAGTTACCAAGATTGCAGTCGTGCTGTTCATCATCATCGCAGGACTCACGCAATTCCACGTCGAGTACATGGATCCGTTCTTGCCGCCGTCCACGGTCAACGCCGCCACCGGCCAAGTCGTGTTTGGGTGGCCAGGGGTCATGGTCGGGGCGAGCGCAAGCTTTTACGGGTACATTGGTTACGGTACGAACAAAACACAATCTCCGATATTATTAATATTTAATATGTGTTGGGTTCCTCGTATACTACGACGTATATATATATATATAGTACACTTACCTACTACTCGATCGATCGAATGTAGACGAAGTGTGCTGCCTGGCGGGAGAAGCAATGAACCCCCGCAAGAACATTCCTCGCGCGGTGCTGGGCACAGTCGTCGGCGCCGCCCTCCTTTCAGTGCTCGCGACGCTGTCGGTGGTCGGCATGCAGCGGTATGACCTTATCGACGTCCAGGAATCGTATGGTGAGGCATTCAAATCGGTACGAACCACACTAATTCAAGGTCAAACTCAAGTTCAAATTGACTTTCGTGTAGGTCGGGTACTACTGGGCCAGCCCCATCGTTGAGACGGGCGAAGTGCTGACGATGCCCGTGGGTATTTTGATCGGGTTTCTCGCGCAGCCCCGAGTTCAGGTACAAAAGTACTTTAGCGGGAGTTGTCTGAACATGAAATAGTGTGCGATGGCCAAGGATGGGCTGTTGCCGCCGCTGTTTGGCCGCCTGGACGCGTCGGGCAACCCCCGAGTGGGGACGTTCGTGGCGGGGGTGGTGCTCATTACGTTTGCGACGTTTGTTGAGTTCCAAGTGCTGTGGAACTTCATCTCGCTAGGCATTTTGCTCGCGTTCAACATGACCAACCTGTCGCTCCTTGTCGTGCGGTATGGCCAAGGTAGTCCGCAGCTTCGCGTGGGAAAATGGCGGCTGCAGCTCCCATTTGTGCTGACACTGTTTGGTCTCACGTCGTTCCTCAGTGCATTACATTGGCAGCATGGCGCTATCGCTCCGATCGTTGCCACAAGTACGTGATAATGGTCAATGAACGCTAGAGATCATCATATGAACATGGTTAGGTCGAGGCGCCGAAGCATATGCAAACTACATGACGTCGGCGGGAGTCTTTGTGGCTGCTGCGTGCTCGGTGCTGATGATGGCAGTGACGGCGATCCTGGTGGTCAACCACCCGACCCACTTTGAGGATGAAGACCTAGGCGACGAAGGCAAGGGCTTGTTCCGTTGCCCGGCCGTGCCGTATGTGCCCTGCATTGCGATCTACTTCAACTGGCTGCTCGTCGTACAAATGCCAGGCTATACTGTTCTGATGATGGCCGGATGGGTTCTGCTCGCATCCATCATGTACCTCGTCTACGGAACGCGGCATGGCCTTGCCGCTACTGGTGCATTGTAACGTTGGAATCCCATGCGTACTTAAGCGGATACGATACGTTTTATAGATAAACGCGATTATGTTTTTTCTTTGCCTTTGGTTTATATATTCTCCCTAACATTAGGAACCCGGCATCAGCTACCGGTACGGTAGATACAGTACGTCAGATTCGTCGTGGGCCCTTGGTACACCCAAGTCAGTATCAAGAGAAGCAGATCCTCTTGAAATTTACAGTGCGGAGGAACACGAATGTATCGAAGGTGCAATTAAACCTAATTTTGGAAGATCCGTTAAACTACTTTAACGGTTTAACGTCGACATCATATTCCGATATAAAAAGCAAGTGAGTTTCTGGGAGAATCGCATTTTCAGGAACGCCAGAAAAGTTCCACGAAAGGGAGATGAGTCATGCTGTGTCGGATCAACAAGTGGAGATGGAGCTGGAACATGAGCTTCATAGCGTCGACGATGTGGATTTAGACGTCGATGACGATGAGGAATATGACTACGCAAGCGATACGTCGTCCTATCAGTATTCATCCGACGAAGGAGCTGCGGACGAGAGCAAGTCGAAGAGGTCCAAGACCGAATCGAAGACTAGGACGACTGCCCTCAAAGTGAATACCAACATCGGATCGGCAGCCGCAGCACAGTACCAGGTGATTTCGCCAACGTCGTTGGCGACCCAGCAGAACGCACTGATTGCCGATGTCGCGAACATCCTGTCCCTTCCCAAGGCGAAAGCAAGCTTGTTGCTGCGCTACTTCTTCTGGAACAAGGAACAACTCATGGATCGGTACTGCAGCGATCCCACGGGGGTCAGCCAAGCGGCAGGGTAGGATGTGTCGCAAGAATCCGCATATTCCCATCTCATGGCGTGTCCAGGGCATTGAGTACGGGCGAAGAGGAAGAGAGCAAGGACGTGAAGAGGAGATGCGCGATCTGCTGCGAAGACGAGACGTCTCAGCTTGTGGCGCTCGGGTGCAAGCACTTCTTTTGCGTCGACTGTTGGGTGCCGTACTTGCAGATCAAGATCCAAGAAGGCCCGGGGTGCATCACAACCACTTGTCCGCAGCATGGATGCTCCGAGGTGCACACAACATCTATCTCAAGAAATATCTTAACCCGAATTCGTCAGCGGGTGAGCGACTCCATTTTCCAAAAACTGCTGCCCAAGAAGGACTACATGCGCTTCCAGGAGTACCTCCTGCGATCGTTTGTCGACATCAACAAAACTGTCAAGTGGTGTCCGTCCCCTGGCTGCGACAAGGCGATCGCGTCCTCTGGCGGACTCATGACCGTGTCGTGTGTGTGCGGGTGTCTCTTTTGCTTGCGGTATGTTGTACGTACGTACGGTCATATTGTGCAATATGAGAGTGATTTCGCCAAATAGCGATACAAAGATTAGTATATATGTGGTTTTGCCCAATGCGGACGTTTGGATTGGCAGAATATATTCAACATGACGTGATTTGATTGGCTCAGGCGGTTCTTTCATCGATTTATTCTGCTGAAGTTTCGAATCGATTGGACAATATGTGTGTTTTGGAAGTAGGAACCACCACTATGTTGATATTCACATCAACAGATATGTAGTCTCGAATCAATATATCTATTCAAAAGTGAATATGATTTATTACTACGTAGTAGTAATAGTAGTGTTGATGTACCTACCTGTTGTAATCCTTTCCCGTTGCACACTGACATATATATATATGAATTCAGTTTGAATATATATATATATATATATACTCGTTTGAATATCTGTGACCTGTCTCGCGACTGGATCTTTGTATAGACGTAAGGATGTTCAAAGTGAATCCGTTTATATATATATATACAGTCAGATATGTACTCCCTGTGAAATATATATATACATGAGTATGTCTACTCTCGACTGGTCCATGGAGTCTTTCAATCTTGACGGGACGAGGATGATGATGATGTTATTGTAGCTGCGGAGACGAAGCACACATGCCCGTGACATGCGATCAGTTGGCCACGTGGCAGGAAAAGTGCAAAAACGAGAGCGAAACCGCCAACTGGATCCTCGCCAACACGAAAAAGTGCCCCAAGTGCTCGATCCGCATCGAGAAGAACCAGGGGTGCAACCACATGACGTGCCGCAGTTGCAAATACGAGTTTTGCTGGGTACAAATACATATATATATGTCTGGGATGACATTCGACTGATGGAATCCGACTAATATGATATTGGTGGTATGTTGTAGACGTGCATGGATGTCTGGTCCAACCACAACGCCAACACGGGCGGGTACTACAAATGCAATCGGTACGACCCAGATACGGTCCCGTCTGACACGGACGCCGCCCGCGCCAAAGCCGAATTGGACCGATACCTTCACTACTACCAACGGTTTGTTTCGAACGCTCCAGTGGGAGTCAAGAATGACTGAATGGTAGGTTTGCCAACCACGCCGAAGCCGGCAAGTTTGCCGCGCGCAAGCGGGACGACACGGACCGACGCATGGCCGAGTTTGAAGCGGAAGCGAACGGGTCGTACATGGACGTGGGGTTTCTCAACGCTGCGATCGAGACGCTCATCGCGTGCCGCCGCGTGCTCAAGTTTTCGTACGTGTACGCGTACTATTTGCCCCAGGGCAAGGAGAAGGACCTGTTTGAGCATTTGCAAGAGGTACATGCAAGCCATAAATAGTGTGCTTCTAATTGGTGGTTTGCGTAAATTGATTGGATTTGTGGCGTAGGATTTGGAGAAAAACACTGAACATTTGACCGGCTTGGCTGAGAAACCATTGGACAAGATGGACCGGTCCGACATAATCAACTACACGCGCGTGACGGAAAACTTTTTGAAAAACATTTTGGGCGACGTGGACAACGGATTGCTTTCGAATTAGATGGCGATCAAGCAGACGAGCCGCCGCAGGACCGGTACAACACAAGAGGGTGGTGCTGGATGGGGGGTCTGGATGGACGGCTTTGAAACGATCTCACCACTTTTAAATAAATATCAACACCAAAGAACACATCTCAAGACATGATGGGTGGTATTTATTCAGCATCGGGCGGGGGGGTTGTGTGACCAGCTCCTTCGACAAACCCTGCAATGTCGTCGTCAGTCTCCGACGTACATGTGTGACAATGTTAAAAGCTTGACAGGCAAGGTCAAAGGCAAGGTCCCCAGGAAGTATGCAGCTGTCCAGCCAGACAGTCCTCCGCCCACGATACAGTAGCGTTAGACGTGGCGCCTCCTGGCTAATGGCTTCGTTCTTTCAATATGAAATCTAGATTCCTCCAATAATTTCACGCTATTTTTGTCAACTTGTACAACAAGAGCATGTAATATAACGTTAGGTAGCTAACTAAAAACACGTAGCTACTACCTAAAGCTCTGCAAAACTGAGGTGTACTCCAGCCATAACAGCCCAAAACTACGAGGCACGACCGCCACTAGTACTGTTGGATCTTCACAAACGTAACCAAGTGTACATACTGTAGACTGAAAAGCTAAAAGTGTCGACTCTGGCATTTCCTACTGGTAGCTAACGATCCAATGCACGAGCTTAACGTTACGGTGATAGGAGGTAGTACGTACTGTACCTCCTATCACCGTTCCCTCAATCGTTGAGGCTCATAACTATTGGATGACTCGGACTGCTAACTCGTCTCTCAATGCGCCGACTGCAATGTCGTCACGTCTCTCGCCAACAATCCGATGGCTTGCTTGTTGGATCATTTGCCAAATCAACCTCTCGGTCTCGAACGTGTAACCGGATATCCGGATAATCGACTGGCATGGGCAGAAAAGTGTTCCGAAAGAAAAAAGTGCGCGCTGTGGACATGCATCGCTTGGTATACCTGGGCAATGCCGCGCTGCGCACTGTGTCGCGTGATGTGAAGGACGTCATGCAGATCGCGCCAGTCGTCAAGGCGATGAAGAGCATTGTGGTAAGTTCACCCAGTCCACGACATGGCTTGTGATGCTTTTTAGGGCGAACACCAAGGGCTCGGTCTTGCAGGTCCTCAAGTTGGCGTGAACCAACGCTTCTTCCTCATGATTGAATCCATCCCTCAAGGTAATGTCGCATTCGGTCTCTGTAACGCATCGTCACCGTGTATATGTGGTGTCGTAGACGACGACACGCCGTTCACGTACGAAGCAGTGATCAACCCCGTGATCAACTCCAAGTCGGCCGCCGTGACCAAGGACTTTGAAGGATGCTTGAGTTTCCCTGGGTACCAAGGCGTCGTGTCGCGAGCCGAAGTGATTGACGTCACGTACACGACACTGGACGGCCGCAAGATTGAAAACCGAACGCTCGCCAACCTCCACGCGCGCGTATTCCAGGTATCTATCATCCATCCACCCACCCACCCATCCTCATGTCGATTCGTTCCACCCACTCCTCCATGATGTTTACGGCACTGTAGCATGAACTGGACCACTTGGATGGCGTCATGTTCCTCGACAAGATCGACATGTCGGTACGTAGCCCCCTCCTTCGTCGATTGTTGTCTGCCGTCGCTCACTGTTGCATCGACAGACGTTGATCCACGACGATGAATTCCGCAGCCGAGACTACTTGGACCTCCAAATGCTCCTTAAAGACGACTAATCATCATCATCTGTGGGGTATTCATGTGTTTTTTAATATTTTTAAAAAATATATATTACACAAACGCTTTGTGGTCTGTGTCAGTCAAACTCCGCAGTTTCGACGGCGCTGGTGCTGCCACGTCATAAAGTGCAAAGAGACCTTTGTACACCGCCAGGGTGGTCAACCCAAACAAGCCCAGCCACAACCACCGGGACGACTCGGCTTGGAAGAAGGCATCACCACGAACCAACTCTTCAACACATTGACTCCGTCCCTTGATCTATGCGACACAGTTAGGATGTACTACATATGGGCTGTACTTTCATCTCCAATCAGGCCATCACGCAGCCAAGCAACATCACATGAACATCATCGCATAGAACACGTGGAGATGATTATCATGTATACTCGAACGAGTAGGAAGATCGATGACTACGTATGTTGGTACTAGGGAGCTTGGTGGACTGTATCACAGACGTCACGCCACCATGATAGTGATGGTATCCCCATAAACAGGAAGGCCATGCAATGGTATTGAGTGATAACGTCATCATGGAGCCCATTTCACAAGCTACTACTTACTGTCCCAAGCAAGCCAGACATTGGGATGGCTGAACCACCAGAGCAGGGCAAACTCAGGAATACCAAGCAATCCACCGACATAATATGGTCAAATCCGATTATATTTGGACTTTTCGAGTAGAATCGAATGCCAAAAGTATTGAGAATGTTCTAGCCAATCAAAGTAGTGCACAACGAGAAATGTCATCCAATCATCGATTAGAATCAATTCAAAAAATATTCCTCATATAGACATTGAAGAAGCTTCAAATGTGACCCAAATGTATACATTGAAGAAGCTAGAAACCTGACTCGAAACAGTAAAGTCCAAATTTCACTGACAATATAGTAGTAGTACATACAGTAAGTATATATCATCGTACCACAATGCCATCGTGGAGTTCTTTCGCAAACTCTTGCGCGACGACCTTTTGGGCGTTAGCAGGTACGGCCACCACCCGCCCGAGGAAGTCGAGGTGCTTCAATGGCACCACGTCTTGCTCGGCGAATACGCGGCGGCGGTTGGTTCCGTCCTGCTTGACGCTGTACGTCGCGGCCTTGGTGTCTCGATGGACAAACCAGAGCATGGCGTGCGGCTGGCCTGCGTGGTACGGCTCGGAGACGCACCACGACGGGATGTACTTGTTGGGGAGGGCAGTCGGGTCAAACGACTCGTCCTTATCGAAGATGCGCATCATTCGTTGCGACGGGTCGAAGTGAACGTGCAGATGGTTGGCTTCTAGCTCGGTCACGATGTGCCAGAACGCAGTATCGTCCATCGACGTTGTGTCCACGGCGATCTCGACCGTGGATACGTGGAAGTCCATGTCGAGGGGTGGCGGCCGCCGCCCGACGGATGATTTCGCCGCGGCCAGGAGCGTGCCGGCGTCGCCCTTGGCATTGGCGAGAAGCAGCGCTTCCATCAAAGTCCCAAACGCAAGCCAGTGTATCACATTCACCTTGTCAAGGACAGACAGGGTGATCCCGCCGATGCGCGACGTGTGTCGGGAAAACGACTCGCTCACGTCGCATCCTTGTTGATACCGGAGTTCCGACAGCACGAAGAACGCCAAGAGGCCAGACACAACGACCAGAGTCCATCGGTTGTAGCGTCTTCCTCTGCCGCCTCCACCGCCGCTTGGCGACGCCGACGTCCGGTGGTCCGACGACCGACTCGACTCACCTGCCGGCATCGAGTTCTTTCGTGGCATACTCGCGCGTGGACTGTTCACCTGATGATTCTCATGCGGTAGCTGATCTGGATTTACTCCGCTATGCCGGCGTTGCATCGTGCAGAGGTTGGTTCCAGGGGGCGGTTGAGCGGGCGGCACACGAACAGTGAGATCACTTCTTCACGTGTGATTGAGGTACATACAAGTACGTCGTACATTAAGATGTACTTCAATGTTACATCCTATTAATACTTGTAGTTCTTCAGTAACGTTAGTATGAAATACTTTGTCCTTATAATAACGTACATTGTACATTTTGTGTACGCTCGTACATGAACAATGTACGTTTGATTGTCGCCAACACAAGATGGAGCAGGTCTTCGAGCAGCTGAGTGAAGACTCCAAGGACTTCTGGACACCTCGAAGCATTGCTCGCATTCCACAGCCGACTCCTCTCGAGTTCTACCGCAACTACGTGAGCAAGAACATCCCAGTTATCATCACCAATGCCATGGACAGTTGGCCTGCCATGGCCAAGTGGACCAACGAGTACTTGGTCGACGCTCTTGGAGAGACTCAAGTGACGGTGGACGTGACTCCATTTGGCTATGGCGATGCTGTGGTACGTCATTCCATCGTTCATACGTGGCATCCGTTGACGCATCCCTTCCAGACAACCGTTGGCACTGAGAACGTGTTTGTCATGCCCGAAGAACGCTCCATGGCGTTCCGCGATTTCTTGGCCATCCTGCACGACCCGTGCTTTGACGGGGTTCCGTACCTTTCCCACCAAGTACGTCCATGTCCACTCACATGAAACGTCTCCTCTCCCTTCCATCGTGCGATCCGCATATTCCAGTTCATCCATTCACGTGTCCTTCGATTAGAATGACAGTTTGCGCGACCAATTCCCCGCCTTAGTAGATGATGTCGACCCCATGCTTGCATTTGCATCAGAAGCGTTTGGAAATACACCCGAAGCTGTGAATCTCTGGATCGGAGACGAAAGGGCCGTGTCTACGATGCACAAGGACCATTACGAGGTGCGCCAGTGATCAATTCTTCATGCATAGGTCACCATGTCATGCTGGTAGAACATGTACTGCGTCGTGCGGGGTCGAAAGCACTTTTCCTTGTTGCCGCCGTCGGACGTGGCCTTCTTGTATGAGACAGAGTACCCCACTGGACGATATCGCAGCACTCGTGAAACTACCATCCATGACGAAACTCCTACCATTCTCCACCAGTGTCGTTCCCATCCTTCGTGGTATATCTGGCTAAGCTGAACCAAATAAGAGATAGGGTTCATCTATATGGTAGGTCCATTGCCATGCAGGACAACAACGACTTGACGCCGTGGATACCAGTGAACCCGCTGCATCCACAAGTTGAAAAGTACCCATTGACCAAGGTAGGTACTTAGTACCGATGAGTACTTTCCACAGTTGTACCTTTGTGCCGATGTAGCACCTCCAACCGTTGGTCGTGACACTCGAAGCCGGCGAAACGCTGTACTTGCCGTCGTTGTGGTACCACCGAGCGACCCAACTGACCGAGACCGTGGCCGTCAACTACTGGTGAGTGATTGTATCTACTAACGTTGTTACAGTGGATAACTACTAACTATCCATCATTCATGCCCTTCGACGGTGTACTAGGCACGACATGGAGTTTGATGCCAAGTATGCGTACTTTAACTTTGTCCACGGCGTCGCCAGTGCCGTTCGCGATTCGACAACGACATCCGCCCCTGACAACATGTGTAGTTAACTAGCTTGGCCTTGGAATACAGTATACGACTACGTACTACAGTAGTCATAGGAGGATTCATAGTTGTAGTAGTACAGTTCTACTAGTACAGTACTATTCTTCTAGACATAGTACTTCGAAGTAGTACAGTACTACTAGTACAGTACTCTTCTTCTACTACTACTACGTAGTAGTAGAATCAGTTACTCGGACCGTTTCAACGGCACATTGCACTTGGAACTACGGCATTGCTCCCAAGGCACATGGCAACGAGAGCTCGAGAAGAACATCCCACTCGTCGGGTGTCCATCTCCCAATCATCAATCAACCACTGGCCCCGACGAAACTACACCAAACCCTGGCTGACTAGCCCAACCCCCCAAGCATTAGGTACTGTATACCTACCTACCTATATGTACAGCACCTGTGTCTAGCTATGTTCATTTTACTCGTACAGAGTCATGTCCGACACCGCCGCTCCCTCCGACGTCCACCAACTTTGACGCGATGCCTGGATGGGACACGTCGCCGCCCCAAACCGCTCGCATATTGGTGCACCAAATTCTGGCCAAGCCGCACAAAGACGCAAAGCATCGCAAAGGTGTTGGTTTGTCGGAAGTGACTGTGCTCATTGGATGGTGTAGGGCATGCAAGGGGTCTCAGCCGACAGCAAGTGCTGGATGCCAAGACATACATCATGGACTTGCGGCGGGAAATCGACTGGCGGCTGGCTTGCGATGCAGACCCGATCCACCTGGACGAGGGCGAGCGAAACCACTCGACACCCACGTCCGACGACGACTGGTCGCAATGCATGTGAATAGTATCAGGATATATTAATAGTAGGTAGTCTTAGGACCACCACCCGACTACCTACATGAAGTACTTTACACGTTACACTAATACTAGTAAGCTCTACCTTTACCACTTGAAGGATTCTGTACGTCCAGCTGTAGTTGAACGTAGTACTTACTACTATTAATTAGCCTTTGACATGAACGTTATCAACTCGTCGCTACTTACCAAGGCATGGATTTCACCTTAAGTTACTGTACATACCACGTCACATGTGTGAGGTAGTGTTTTATGTATACTTCAAAGAGTGGGGGCATTTCAGAACTTGCTCATCCACATTCAACATATCTGGGGGGAGTTTCGTGGGGCAGTACAATTACTAATGTAGTAAGTACAAGCTTCTTATACCTAACACGATCACAATATCTATCTATATATTGTGAATTCGCTATAAATTTCCAAACAGTATTGAATCACGCCGGAGTTCTGATTGGTTGAATGTATACGTGTCCTCTTGTCCTCTTTGCAAGAGCCAATCAAACCCACTCAAAAAAATGGATTAGCCAATCGCGTCGATTCGTGATTCGCTTCGGCGGCGAGATATTCGATTATATGATGGGGTCTGGAAATTCATACAATTTCTAACAATGAACCCACTGGTGATGTGGGTAAACCAACAGCATTCTTCATCACGACAAGTCCGTCACCATTGTTGGTCCACCCAAGGTCATAGCTGGTGTAGTCACCCCCAACTTGACTAAATGAGTTCGATCGACTACGATCCTACAGCTTGGGTTGATGTGGCTACAACGACAAAGTGTCTGTCAACAAAGGCTTTACATACCAGGAGGTATTTTGTACAGCCAACAATCGATTCGATTTACTCCAAGTACGACTACTGTACACTGGAACGAGTACTTTTTGTCTACTTGTACCGATCTCGAAACAAATTGTGGCGCTGCTTAGCCCCGTGTCCCGTCGAGTACTCCATGTACTTAGACCCATCTGCCCCGGACAAGGCGCCCATGGTCGTCTTCTTCTTCTTGCCAGACAACCGGGACAGGTCTTCGTCGCCCCCAATCTTTGAAATCTCGGCGTTCTCGTCGCTACAACACCATGTAAACACAATCAATCCCATCAACGACGTGAGATGCCACGTACTCGATAAACTTTTCCAAGTCTTGGGCCTCCAGCACTTCTGCGAGCAACTCACTTTGCGAGTCTTTGCTTGTAAATACGCCTATGTACATATACTATCACGTTCAGTTGACAAATCCATATATATATATATATACACTAACAACAATAACTAGATAGACGACACCCAAGGTAGCTTAGCTAGTTTACCTTCAAACGTAGCCTTGTCGTACAGCTCCGTCACGACTTTAAACGTGTACCCTTGGTCCACGAGGTACTGCTGGCGCTTGTTCGAGTAGTACATTTCGTGTGTGTCGGTGGAGATTAACGTGTAGAAAAACGCGTTAAAGCCACCGGTCGCGTTAGCCTTGGGGCGCAAAATACGACCCAACCGCTGGGCTTCTTGCCGCCGCGATCCAAAGTGAGAACTCACCTACGCTCGATGAATAATATCGAAAAGATATTAATAGTAGTATTGTGCTTTCGAGTGACATTTCATTGTGTTGTGGTTTCTCGTTGGAATTTAAATCGATTTGATTGGCTACTTCAGATGAGCTCAAAATTATTAGCCAATCAAAACCCATTTCTCAATGAAATTCAACCAATCAGATCGATTGTGGATCAATTTGGTCGGCGCGATTATTCGATTGCACAACCCCTCCCCAAATGTGTACTATCAAATCGACAATATATAATACAAATCGTCTTTCTATCTACACACTTACTTGAATGATCACGTTTGCTTCGGGCAAATCGATGGATGTGTCCCCGACTTTTGAGATGCAAATGACATTCACATGGGGACTGGACCGGAACGACTGCAGCAGCCGCATGCGTTCGCGTTCGCCCGTGCCCCCGTAAATGAACCCCTGCGTGAAATATTATATATATATATAAATATCGAGGTAGATCACGAATAATAAAGGTGAGGGTAGTGTATAATATATATATATTACCTTTTGAAGTTTGGTTGCATACAGTCGCAACGCAAACACATCGTCTGAAAAGAGCAGGATCTTATCGCCGCGGTCTTCGTGGTACTTGATCAAATACTCGGCGGCCGAAAACTTGTTGGGGTTGGCCACGTACAGCAGCGCCCGTTTGCGTGCACTCACGTTTTCCTTCAAGTACTCTAGAATACGAGGCACCATATTGTGAATTATATTCGCTAAACACTTTTAAACTTCGCGTGGTTTTGCCTACTCAATATGGAATCACGTGCTAGAGTTCTGATTGGTTGAAAAAGATATGTGACCTTTCTGTAAGAGCCAATCAAATCCACTCAAAAATTCGATTAGCCAATAGCGTCGATACTCGCGATTCAATTCGACGGAGTCAGAAATTTGTACCGAATCATCCACAATTGTAAACATACTTTTATATTTGTCATGTATTATGTCGTACAAGATTAAACGAACTTGGTTGATAGTCAACAATACTAGTCTACATATTCGTCAAAAAATAATAAAAATATACTAGTATATATATGTATATCTTCACACCACATCTATACTGTTCCAAATAGATTACCAGCAAGAGCTACTACTTTACATACATACCAGCATAAAAGGGGCCAGTCATGGGGCACCACACTTCGACACATGAAACGTTGGCCAAGAACCCCGATTGCGTCAGGTCCATCCAGTTGGCCTCGTACAGCTTGGGGCCGATGAGAAAGTTCAAGTCCCCAATCAAGTCGTCTTCGCGAACGAGGGTCGCGGTGAGTCCGAGCTTGCAGTGGCACGCAATGGACCCGATGACCTTGCGAAACATCTTGGCAGGCACGACGTGCACTTCGTCTAGCAAGATGCATCCCCATTCGCGGCTCTGGATGATGTCCATCACGGCCGCCGACTGCGCCGCGCGGTTTCCCCCGAACGCAACCATGGTGTACGTCGTCACAATCACGCCCGACACGGGGTCGATGTAGTCTTTTGCCACACTCGTAAAGCTATACACCATGTTACACAGTTTGAACAAGTAGACATACAATGCTATACACCATGTATTGAAGCATTGAACATGTAGAAATCACACGCTAAACACCATGTAGAAAACATTGAAATATTAAACGTAGAAATACAATAAGGCCGAGTCTGGATATCACAATATTATTTGATGTCAAATAATATTCTGACAGAGCATTCCCTTTTCCAATGGGAGGTGAAAAAATATTTTCAAAAAAGATTCTCATATGACCTCTCCATGATAAAATTTCAAACTATTGCTAGAATATCATGGAGTAGATATACATTGGACAGTTGCCGTTGAAACTATTTTCTGTCAGAAAACAGTAAAACTTCGACGTATTACAGTGAACGAGGGAATTTAAGCCACCCATACCGACGTTCGTTTCAATATTGCTGTACTTAACCAATCAGAATCATGTATTTCAAACCAGTTGGTTTGATTTGTCGAAATAATATCGAAGTTGCCCAATCAAACTTCAATAATTCGAATCAAAGTGTGGCTAATAAATTCCCTCGTTCACTGTATGTCCATTTATATATGTCAGATTTAGTAGCCAAATACACGCAAAGAAGGTGTCGTGTGGAAAATTGTCCTAATATATTTCTGAAAAATCGCAAAAAGACGGGTATTTTCTGACATTTGTTTTGTGGCAGAGTGGCCGTAAACCATTTTAAACGTTTTAAATGGAGATATAAAATGCTACAACCCATTTGAAACATTCAAATTAAATGTAGACATACAGTAAACCCCTCGTTTCCAACACGGTCAAGTAAGTGCCATTTCGTGTTGTGGCGTGGTTTCTCGTTGGAATTTAAATCGATTTGATTGGCTACTTCAGATTAGCTCAAAATTATTAGCCAATCAAAACCCATTGCTCAATGAAATTCAACCAATCCGATCGATTGTAGATCGGTTTGGTCGGCGTGAAATTCGATTGCACCCCAACTTTGTATATCACATCGACAATACGCACCGTGCAATTTTCTTCTCTGGAATGGACGTCCACATTTTAAATTGCGCCGTCCACTGCTCCACCGACACGGCCGACGTACACAGACACAAACATGACTTTTTGATCGTCGACGCCGCCGTGACCCCTGCCAACAGCGTCAACATCCATCTCGTCAGGGAATGAGAAGGTAGGTACCTGTCAAGGTCTTGCCGGCGCCGCACGGAAGCACAATAATGCCTGAACGTGCGCGGCCGTTTCCAAACATTTTACTGAGCGACTTCTCCTGATACTCTCGGATACGCGTCGTGGGCTTCAAATCCATGTCGATGTCCGGGATAGACTTGTCGTTGCGAAAGTCGTACTCCTCCATCAACGGGAAATCAATGTCTACGCAAAATATCAAACATATTCATTCATGACGATCCTGTTTGTAGAAACCACATGTGACATCGTTCAAACACTTGCGACACTGTCGCGATGCGTCGACGTGGTATTCATATGCAAATCGCTGCTCCTCGTCGACCACAAAACACATACCGAGACATGCGCGCTTGACTTGCTCGACATGAGTCTTGCGAATGCGGAAACTCACGGTTTGCACCGTAGTAGCGGCCGCCGCGGCCTTGGCGCGCTGCTGATCCTCGGTCTGATCGTAGTCTTCCATGAGAAGCTGCTCGTACTGCTTGTTGGCTTGGTCTTCCGCGCTGATTTCCTTTTGTAGAAACTCACCCGTCGCGTTGTACGTCGACGCCGCGCCTATCCATGAGGATCATATCCAGCCGCCATGGTTGAAGACATGGAAATGTAGCCTAGCAACCTGCCCCCAGGACATCTTCTTTCACGCGAGCCAGTCGAATGGATTCCTCTTCGAGAAGACGCTTGAGCACTTTGGGGTACAGCGATTCGACATAGTATTCGTTGTGATGCAGCACCAACTTGGCCTTGCCATAACTGGCCGTGCATTCCTTGATGAATTGGACAATCACGAGCGGCAAGTGGTTCTTACTCAATCGCTCCAACACCTTGGTGAAAATGAGTAAATCCCACACGATGGACGTTGTACCTTGACGATGCTTTCGGTCTCAATCGACACGGACACGGCGGCATACAGGGAGTACGGTGTGAGCTTGTATTCATGCAGAAACTCGGGACGAGACACAGGTTCCGAGATCGCGACGAGAAAGTCGTATGCTTGTTTGTACAGCGGACTGAATGCTTCGAGGAAGATGCGACCATTGGGACACACCCACACCTATGTACCAGAGGATGATCGTAAACTGTTGATGAAACGAGTCAACACATCGAGAGAAACAAACACAGAAGTGTATAACCACATACCGGACGAGACGCGTGATCGTTCTTCATTTTCAACGACGAAAAGTCTTGGTATTGCGAGTTGCCGGAATCGCTCTCGAGCGTAGTCAATCGCTTCTGGATGCGCTGACTGAGCTTGTTACTCGCCATCACGGCGTCAGACGACTGTGTGGGATCGTTGTCGTCATCTACATACGCCTGGAGGTCCTCGTCAACGCCGCCGCCGTAGTCTTCAGCAAGAGTCCGCTTCTTCGGGACTCGCGTCGATGATGTGCTCATGATGATGGAAATCGAATAATGTGGGGTTCAACAGATTATTTATTTTGGTCCAATCCAAAAGTCCTTTGATTGATTATTTTAAGGAATCACGAAAAATCGATTCAACAAATGGCGAAAATATTATAAATTTGCGACTCTCGTGTTTTTGATGAAATTACAGATAAATTCGTAAATAGCCAAAATAAAGAAATCGGATTGGCTGACATTCATGCATTCGTGAAAATTACCAATAAAATACTACGATTGTCTGTCATCCCTTCAAAGTTAATACACGAACCCATCAAAACATTAAATGTGAAAGGGTCGCTGTCCCTGTCAAGGTGTGTGTACTTGTGGATGTGCGATCGATGAGTGATCATCGGCACCAGCTCCAGGACTATCCTTCGTTGCTGCTGCGCTTGTTCCACCAGAGCCAAGGCCCACACTCGAAGCCGTCGAAGAAGGCCCAAGAAGAGCTCTTCCAGCACCTCCAGACTACCTCCCTTCCCGTGGAATGCTTCGACGCGTTGTTGCCGCACTTCCTCGTCTGTCTCGGCAAAGGCGACGCCGCGTCGAAATGGCTTGTGCTACTGTTTGCATCCAATCTCCTGCGCACGGCCGATGTGGTCAACATGGTGATGCACCAGCAGAAGCTCGTGATATCCATCCTTCCTGAAACCTTGGAAAAGTGGTGGCGCCTCGTGGAAGCTCAAGGCACCGCCCAGTCCAACCTGTCCAACCTGCGCGACGGCGTGTATGTTCCGAACGCTGTCCTCCAGCACGAAAAACTCGCTCTCCAAAGCAGCCAATTCTTTGCCCTCGGTCGACTCGTGGACACGCTGGCGCTGCTGCTCCGCGTCACCGACGACGTCGACATCGTGGACTTTGCCACCCGCACATTCCAAGTGATCTTGAAACTTGCGCAAAAAGGCGCGATTCAAAACGTGTTTGTGCGCGTAGCAGACGTCTTGATCACGTGGATCTGCCGCCAGGACACGCCCACGGGCCCACGGTACGTTCACAAAACGTGTTGGTCGTGTTCCCATTTAGCGACCAATCTAGGGACGTCCTTGTGCGCACATTGTTTGACATGCGCGAGCTGTGGGCCGACAACCCGGTGTTCTCGCTGCAACTGATTGCCTCGTTCACCGCCGTACGTTCCATTTGCGACGAACTGATATATGAATACCTGTCAATATTATTGTTATATACATACCGACGGAAAATAATCGACGGGTCGATGTAGGAGATGGAGGCTTGTTGTGCCGAGGACGCGGCCCTCTCGGCCGCAGATCTCCACAGACTCAATGCGATCGTCGTGTGCTTTATGGCAGTAGGCCATGGCCTGCGTTCACTTGGTACGTAATAACAACGGCCACTGTAGTTCTCAAAGCTAATTGTAGTGTCATCGCCTGATGCCATCCTTCGTCGCGTGGTGTATGCATTGACTAGCCTCGGGGATAGATACTTGCTCAGGTTGGCGACATTAGCTAAGACCAACCAAACTCTCAACCCTCGTGACCTGACACAATTGTATTTATGTCCCCCTAGCATCGACACTGTGACTACGTGTGCGCATGCCATGGTGGCCATACAGTCGCAAGACGCGGCGCTGTTCTCGCCGCTCTGCGTCAGTTGTGTGGACCTGCTGCTGTTGCATGCTGCGACATTGTTCCATCGCCACTTGGCCACGGCGTCGGACGTGTCGGTCGTGTTGGATCGAGCTCTCGTTCTCTTGGAAGGGTGTTCCAGTGTTCAGTTTTCCCTTCCAATCGTCAACTTGCTCCATCGCAACTTGCCGTTGAGTTTGCCGTTGGGCGTGTCCCCCAACAACGGGGGTGCCACGCCACCTTCTACCGCACCTTCCCAAGTGACCTTTCTATCGCTCTTGTGCACCACCAGTCAAGCCGGTGTGCTGATCAAGCTCACGCGTGTGGCAGTGCAATGTGTGCGTCTAGGCGGCATCCCTGCGTTGCAAGTACCCTATCATCACAAATCACTTTGTTCACGTCATCCTCCTCCTTATCGTTGTCTTCGTAGGTGTTTGGCTTTCAAGCAGTGTCAGCATCAAATGACATACCCGTGATGTTTTTCCTGATGGTGTTTTGCCTGGCGTTGGCGTCGCCTATGAATACCCCGCTCGCTCCTGGCGATGCCCCGTGTTTAGCTGGGTTGTACACTCGTCTGATTCAATCGTTACCCAAGTGGACCGACACTCCGTTGTTTCTGCATGGAGTCAAAGCTATCCACTGTCTCATGCAGTTCATTCTGCAAGCCCGCGCTGCAGCTACATCTCCGCCAATCAAACCCGCCGATTCGCTCGCTCTGGCCACAATCCTCCTGCATCACGTAGTCGCATCTCCGCAATCGGTCGTTCTTTTCCAGGTCCTGACCGACTTGGTAGCCGAAGCCCCGCTCTTCCAGCTGACGTTGCCGTTGCAAGCTCCGGTTGCGTTTCTAGCGCTCGCCAATCACCCTAACGACATCGTTCGTCGGCATTGCGTGGCCCTCCTGCCGTCCATCACCCCCCATCCATCCCACTTGGCCGTGGCGTTGGATCGCCTCTTTGATTCGGTGCCGAATGTGGCGACTGCTGCGTTGCAAGCCGTGGGGAACCTCGCTGTTGTGAGCTTGGGGAACGCCACCGCCACCATTACTCCGTCGGGACGACCCCAAACGAGTTTCAAACGAGCGGCCAAGCAGACAACAGACTACAAAATCAACTTTAGCCCTGCCCAGTTTGAATTGGTCGTGCGATGGATCGACTCGGGCGACCCCGACGACACGTGCGTCGCGGGGCTCCGACTCGAGCACCACCCCGCGCCGCTCGTGGCGTTGAAGGAGCATGTATGGGCTGCGTCGTCGTGGTGTGTGCTGAATCGACTCCGCACACATTGGGGGAACGCTGGCCACACGTTAGCGGCGCTGGAAAAGCTGCTGCTAAAACCAACGGTGGTGCATCCCCGCCTCGTCGTAGAGTTGCTGCATGCGCTGGAGTTGGCGATTTCGCGCATGCTCGTCGAGACGACATCAATACATGACACGGACAACCACCACCAGCAGCTGGAGAAAGCGCTGTCGTTCTTCAAAACCAATCGCAAAGTGTGCGACGACTGGTTCCTGCGCATTCGACCTGCCCTTGTACGGCTCTGTGATGCCACCGGCGCGTCGGGGCTCGGGAGGCATCACGCGCTGGCCCTTGTGACATCGTTGGCTGCCAAGGCCGCGACGGCAGAGTGGGATGCCGCGATGTATGCATTGTGCAGTGCCAGCTGCGACCTCCAAGACATCCCCGGGCTGCTCGGGTACATGGAATACGCTGCCCACGTCGGCCAATCCAAGCCGTGGATGCCCCCGCTCGCGCTCGAAGCGCAGATGCAGTACGAAGCGGCGACAGCGGGGTACGCTACGATTTTATCGCCGCTGGTGGCGCTCAGTCGGCAGCTCGAGTCGTCAGAGAACCACCGCAATTCGGAAGCGGCGACGGGAGTACAAGCGTACGTGGCTAGCATGGACATGGGTCCCGTGTCGTTCAAGGGAGTGGTGCTGAGATGTGCGCAATGCTTTGCCTACCTCCAAGACTGGGATGGTTGTCGGCAGTGGATGAGCCAAGCTTTACAAGTGGCGGCGCTGTTGCGAACGGTGCAGCACTGGCTGACGGACGAAGTGGAGCAGCTAGCCAGTGCACTGAACGGCCTCGTGGCCGCGTGGGGACTGGAGCTGCGCATGCTGCTTCCAGCGGACCAGCCGCCCGTCGCGTCGAGCACTCATCGGGACCACCTTCCACCGCTGCAGGAGTGGACGGTGCTGTCCGTGGTTGACGACGCCAAAGCGCGCAACTTGCATGACGGCGTCCAAGCGCACACAAAGTGGCTCAAGCAACGGCTGCGGGTCTTGGCTATCGACAACCGAGCGGCTGCCCCTCACAGGGGGGACTCCATGAGCCGGCAGCTGCGGCGCACCCTGATGCAACTCCAGTGCTTTGTCCAGCCCAAGGTGCCCCGGACGTTGTCGTTGGATCCGACCGCGCACGACTTGGGCGTATGGTATCCGCTAGCGTCCCGACTCACCGCCCCCATCTTTGAGTTTGACTTGCAACTGATTCGGTTGGCCAGAAAGCAAAGAAACTTCAATTTGGCCACGACCAAACTCGCCAACGTTGCCGCCACGTCGACAGTGAACAAGCTACTTGTCGACTACGAACAAGCACAACTGCTGCATGCGACGCATCGCCACGCCCAAGCCGTGTCGACATTGGTGCAGTTGCAAGCCAGTTTCTCGGCAACGACGGCAGCAACAACCGACTCGGAACGACGTGTGCAAGTGAAAACGCTCGTCAAATTGGCCGCATGGACAACAGATCACCACCAGCCGCCAATTCGTCAAATGTATTTGCACCACGCTACTACGGTGGACCCGTTGTCGTGTCGAGCGTGGCTAAGCTGGAGCCATTACTGGTACCAGGTATCCCACTCGCAAATGGAATTCATCTCGGCAAACCAACACGAGTACGCGCTGACGATCGACGAAAAGCAACAGTTCACTGCCATCGTCAGCTCGTTCTCGGACCTTGGGGTGATGGCGTCGGCGTTGCTGGCGGCGTTGCAGAACTTTGAATCGTTCGTGTGCCCTGCACCAGTCCCTTGCGTTGAGGCGCTGGATCGCCTCTCCGCATTGTACCAACAGGCACGGACCCGCGTCTTGGCCGGGTACGCGTCCGCCATCCCCGGATACGTCACGTACCTCCAGTGCGCGTCGCCGTCGTCGCTCCAGTCGCATGGCGCCATCGTGACATTGCGACTCCTCGGGCTATTGGTCAAGCATGGAAGCGAGCCATCGCTTCAGTCGGCGTTGGACGCGGCGGTAACCGAGTCGCCTCTGCCGCCATGGGAGCGCATCGTCCCTCAACTGCTATCCCGGCTAGCACATCCCGACTCCAACGCGGCCGCGCGGGTGGAAGCCATCTTGTTGCGCCTTGCCGCGCAGAATCCGCATTTGATAGTGTACCCCGCAGTGGTCGAGTCCACGAAACTGACCGAGGTAAAATCAATCAATCACCCGTTACGACCACATTGCTGTACATGTTGTAATTTTCAGCCAAATCTTGGATTTTTTGTGTGTGTGCTGCGCATTTGCGATAGCCATCGATCGATCGATTGTATGGACTTGATTTGACTGTCAAAATTTGACCCGTGTCACACACAAGTATGGTTGAAGCGACAACTTGATTGGCCACTTCGAGTACTGTTTTGGTTTTTGATTGGTTCCGATGGATTGTCGGCCGTTCGATTCGAGCACCCCCCTCCCATTTCGAAATGAATAGACATTAACAACTCATATTCATTCATTCGTAGGCACTCGATTCCGACCTTGTGGGTCAAGTGCGTCTATTGATTGCTGAACTCCGTCGCATTTCGCTGCTGTGGGACGAAGCGTGGGTGTCGCTGCTGTCGAAATTGTCGACAGATGTCGCCCGACGTAGTCATACACTTGAAAAGGAAGCCACGAGGGTTGAAAGGAATGCGTTTTTGCCTGACAATGAAAAGCGAGCGCTGGCCCAGCGCAAGTTTGTCGCGATGATGAAGCCAGTGTTGTTGGCCCTGGCCACGTTGGCAAAGGACACGATTGAAACCACGTCGCAGACTCCGCATGAACATTGGTTTGCGCATCATTTTGGACCATTGATTACCTCGGCGCTGTCGACGTTTCAGCGCTGTTTGGACCCAAATGACGACCTAGCGCTGCAGTTGCTACGCCCTTCTCAATCTCAACCCACCCACACTCTGTCATCCAGACTGGCGAATCCGTGGGTGCAATGTTTGTGGAGTCCGTTTGAAGACATTCTAAAGCGACTGAACGCCTGTCAACGCCGGTCGAGTCTGCAAATGGCGTCGATTTCGCCCGTCTTGGCGTCGTGGGAATCGTCGTTGGTGCACATGCCGGGCATGCCGACACTGCAGATCCACCGCGTGGCCCCTGACGTGCAAATTCTAGCGACGAAAACCAAGCCAAAGTGCTTCGAGTTGGTCGGATCGGATGGGGTCTCGCACCGGTACCTGTTGAAAGCGCGTGAAGATTTACACCTGGACGAGCGGATCATGCAGTTGCTGGCCACCGTGAACGGCTGCCTTGGCTCGGACAAGCAAGCGAAGCACTACGACTTGTCTGCACGTCATTACAATGTCATTCCGCTAGCAAACGACGTCGGGTTGATTCAAATGGTGCGGCATGTCACGCCGCTGTTTCAGATTTACACGGCGGCGGCCACAACTGGCCCTTCTTCCACCACCACCGCCAGTACCGACGTGAACTCTGTCGCAGCTGCGCCCACTGCGCCGTTTTACGCAAAGTTGAAACAGCACGGGATCACGAATGTGACACCGTCCGGACGCCCCCACTGGCCACTCACAACGCTGCGCCAAGTGTACACTGACTTGGTCAACGAACATCCGAAAACGAACGTGCTGCTACAAGAGTTGATGCGTCGGAGTGCGTCGTTGCAAGAGTTTGGGGCAAAGTCGACTCGGTTTTGCCGCAGTGTGGCCGTCATGTCGGTTGTGGGCTATGTCATTGGTCTGGGGGATCGTCACTTGGACAACATGCTCTTGTGCCACAGCGGAGACCTCGTGCACATCGATTACAATGTGTGTTTTGACAAGGGCAAAAAACTCAAAGTGCCTGAAGTGGTGCCGTTTCGGCTCACGTCGATCGTGCTGGGCGCGCTGGGGCTCACGGGCACGGCCGGCCGCTTCCGCCACAGCATGGAGACGACATTGCGAGTGATCCGCACGTCGAAAGCCAAGGAAACCACCTTGGCGTTGCTTGAAGCGTTTGTGTACGACCCCCTGGTCGACTGGAAAGATGGTATAGTTCTATATATATATTATATATATGTGATGGGGTGTACTTCTAAACGAGGGGTTATGTCGGGGGTACGTAGGGCCAACGCCCAAGAAACTGTGGCGCATGGAAATGAACGTGCAATTGGCGTTGTTTTCGAGCCGAGCACAAGAGCGCAGGGCCGAAGCCAACGCCGCGCTTGCACACGTCATGCACACGTGGCAGGTCGTGGAAGACTTGACAAGTGACCTGGTCCGTGCCGTGGGACCTGTGACAGGGCTCCACGACCAACTTTGCACTTTGCAAGCCACCCAAAACGAATTGCACAAGCAATTGGCCCAGTTGTTGGAGGAGGTCGAGGGTGACGAGGCCACGTCACATCACGAGCAACTCGAACAAGTGTACATGCACGCCAAGGACGAGCTCGACCACTTTTTCGACGAATGTCAAGGTCGGAAAGGCGGTGTCCGCCAATGGCTAGACCTGCCCGACTTGGGGCTGCCAGCGTTGGCCTCGTTTGCTCCAACGGCAATGTCCTTCACGGACTTGTACATCGCCCTCAACTTGGCCGATCGATCCCTGGAACAAAACTGCCACGCCCTGGACAAGGCCACGGACGCGTTGATCGCTTTCTTGCGATCAGTTTCCAAAGTCCAACCGGCTCTGTCCTGGTACGAACGCAAACGACCCCAGTTGTATGGGTCTCTTCGGGGCCCCACGGTGTATGACCAGTGGATCGACTGGGTGGACCAAGCCAGGGCCAGCGATGGGAAGTTTGATGTGCACCAAGTGGTTCAATTGGCCGAGGAAGATACCCGTCTGCGACAATGTCTGGATGGTGTTGCAACTGCTCCTCGTCGAGAGATGCCGCAATTGGCAGTCGGAATCAACGACCTAGACACGACAGGGGCGCACAGTCAGTTGAATGCACTGACCCACGCCCTGTCTGAGCTCAAAACGACGTGGAAACTGTCGAATGCCCAGCTCAAACGAGTGCTTAAAGTGGCCGTTGCGGACCACTGGCGCCGCCTACAAAGTAGTACAGACTTGTCCGTGGACCAGTTGGCCCTTCGGGTGCGGTCGGCGCAGTGGCTGTTCGAGGTGGGAAACATGCCCAAGGGCACGTCGTTCCGCTACTTGCCTCTGGACGAGTGGCTTCTCCATCCCGACACTAGGCCATCTCAGGTCATCCCGGCCTTGATCCCGCTCCACAACTTTTGCCTCGCGATTCGATGTGCGCTACATCTTGTGTACGAGTATTTCCCACGGCTGGCGTACGGAACGTCTGCTACGTCCGTTGTGGAAGCGTTCCGAACGTCGTTGGACCAGGCATATGCGCTACCGTGCTGGTCTGCCCTGCTCGACTCGTTTGGGTGGGTATACGACGACGTCCCAGTGACCACCCTGTCGCAAACCACTGGTTTGGAAGTTCCCACCCATCGCCCTGTTGCGATATGGGACCTCCCTGGTTTACCCTCCCTTCGCCAGTGTCTGAACGCTATGTGTGCCGCTGACATCGCCCTCACTCGAGATGGCAATGTGGAGGCGACGCAGTACTACTGGTTGGACACTCTGGCCACCATCGCACGGATGGTCGCAGTAGACCAACAGCCTCCACATGTAGTAGGATCCTACTTAACAGCCCAGGCAGCGTCGGTGTTGGCTGCCGCGTCCGTCGCGCTCGATGCCTGTCTGCACACCGACATATGCGTGCAGGCGTGGACATTTCAGCCGAGTGACGCCACCACCCCCACCATAATCTCGGCCGACCAACTCGAGGCCGAAGTCCAGCGAGTCATGCCGTTGGATGCGCCGAGAGACTTTGGCTCGTCCCTAGCGTCAAGGTTGCAACTGGACCAACTCGTCGACACGATGGCGGCAGTTGCGACCGCATCCATTGAACAAGCGCAACAAACCCAACTCGCGGCATGGACCCAAGCGTTGGAAGCCCATCGAGATCAACTGGATGCTCTGGCTGCGTGGTGGAATGTGAGCGACCAGGGCGATGCCGTGGACAGGTCCCGCCTCCTCGCGCTACTTCCACACATGAAAGACAACGACGAAACCGCCACGACCCTGGCCCAACACGAGCAGTTGCTTGAAACGTTGCTAGCTCCAACCGCGTTGGCCTTGACAAGACATGCCACGTCCGACGATACACACCGTCGCATTTCGCACGCTGTGGACCAATCGTTGACGGCCACGCACGGCGTCCAATCATTCTCGGCGATAGGGCGGTGGATAGAATACGTCGAGTCGACATTTCGAGACAGCAAGAGCGCCACGTGTCGCGCGGTGGACGCGGAAGGCCACCGCGTGCTCTCGACATTTGTCCAGGCTCAAACAGCGTGGACCACCCACACCCGTCGATCGATAACGTCATCGGACCAGCGGCGAGCTGTGCAACAAGCCTTGGGCCAAGCAATGTCGCAAGCAACGCGCGTTCGCCAGTCGCTGGTGGCCCATTGGCTGGAAATCAGGGATGACGTGGCCAGTCCGTTGCTTGCGTTGGCACAGGCTGTGGCGGCGTTGCTCGACACGGACAAGGCGAAGTCGGCGGCGGTGCTGTGGGAAAACGAACGATTGGTGAAAATCCTATCAAAAAGCACCAAACGCACCCCCGAGCTGGGCGAGTTGCAGGCCGCGGTGAGTGTGTACGAAGCCACGAGTGCAAATCTCCACGCCAAATACACTGCCGTCATGCAGACGTGCGATGACTTTGCACAACAATGTTCGGAAATCAAGGTGGCGGCGGCAGTAGCATCGGCGCCTGCTACGACCATGGCGTCGGTGGTGCGTGGTAACTCTAGCAAGCCTCGCCAGGACAAGTCACTAGCCACTCTCTCGACGGACGACCCGATGACAGTGTTGAACGCGATTCAACAGGTGATTCAAGTGTCATCCGAGATGAGGCCGATTCGACAAGCTATGGAGACGGTGGTTGGGCTATTTTTTGACATTGCCGACCTTGCAACATCGTTGTCCACCCACGAACGATCCACCGACAAGGACGAGGGGGGGGCGGTGGTGGTGGTTGCTGCTGCCTCCCACGACAGCGACAGCAGTAGTGGCGACGATGACAGTGTCACTGACGAAAGCGACGACGACGATGACGTGGCCGTTTCATCTGTTGATGCTGCTGCGGCTGCTATAACCGCCCCAAACAACCAAGTGCAAGCGCGCAACGCATGTGGCCTCCAAGTTCTGCATCGGGTCAAGCAAAAGCTAGACGGGGAAGCGTCGCATCTATCCGTGGAGCAACAAGTGCAATGGCTCATCCAAGAAGCGACCAGCGTGGACAACCTGTGCCAGATGTACGAAGGGTGGACGCCTTGGATTTAACCCCACTGACGAACAACCATGTGGCGGCCTACAAGCCAAAGCTACGGTGGATGGAAATATACAAGTGTTCACGATGGCGTTACCTCGATGGATTTCTAGTGGGAAAGAGGCTCAATGTGCACAACAGTGGCCATTGGACGTGGCCGTCGAACGGACTGGGGAAGGGTGTCATGGTTAGAAGCCCAACGCGTTGGCATGCTCCAGTTGATATCCGACCGTAAATGCAATCAAACAACATTCTTGGTTCAACTTACTTAAGTACGTTTTTGGAGATTGCAGTTGTTGTTTGGTAGTTTCCAAAAGATATTTTTCACATTCTGCTCATGAATTAACTTTGTGATGAGGGTGCCAATAGTATGACGGCAAAGCGTGCCAGCCAGTCCAACATTTCGCCTGGCGGTGTGTGTGCACCCTCAGTTCTGCTGCGCAGGGCAATTTGGATTTGGGGCGATTTACAGTTAATTTGATTTTGCGACTGGGTAAAAAACATTTTCTCCACTTTTATTCTTCTCCAAAGATATATTTTTTCGTCGAAGTATTCGGAAGCAGTGCCACAAATTATCCGGACAACTTGGACAAACGCGCAACATGGGGACAAAGATGGTGTTTGTGACCGTGGGAACGACAAGCTTTGATGACATGGTTGTGGCTGTGGACGCAGACGAGGTGCGCACGATACTCAAGGAGAAGGGATACGACAAAATCCTGTTCCAGATCGGTCGTGGCACATACGAGCCTCGTGCCCTCAACGGCACTCTCTCGACGTCCTTCTATCGGTTCAATGCTGCGTACAAGGACGACATTCGACGAGCGTCGCTCGTGATTAGTCATGCCGGTGCAGGATCAATCATGGACACCCTCGTGGAGCGCAAACACCTGATCGTCATTCCCAACTCGCAACTCATGGACAACCATCAAGAAGAACTTGCCGGGGCGTTGGCTGAGAGGCACCACTTGGTGGCCACCACGTGCACCCTGCTTGCTTCCTGCCTCAAGGCGGTGGATCTGAACACCCTCGAACCTTATCCAGACGTGGACGAGGCTGCATTTCCTTCCTTTGTCGACAGCGTTGTCCACCCGCCGCAACACTCCAAGCAAGCATGACCGCACACGACTCTACCCGCAAACCATCGGTACTCGGCAACGCATGCAGCTTACTACAATCGCGCTGTCTTAAATAGAGCTAGTTACTGAACGAAAACTACAGTAACGAGGACAATAGTATGGATGTCTTGTTGGACTGAACCCCCCCCACCACCGTTGGATTATCGTCGCATGTGACACGGTTAGCCATGGCTAGCTTTTAAATACCCTTACTATGACACTTTCCGTCGCTGGGCCAAGAAATGCTATACCAGGCGTGGTGTGTGTAGAAAGGTGAAATGCCACAGACTTCGAATTCTACTCAACACTTTGTCACATATGTGATGTGGTGTGCAGTCAGGTGAGTTTTATTCCTTTCTCAACGGCTTTCTTCCTGCTACAACTACAGTAGTACTTCGAAGTAAGAGATTCCTCTAAACGAGCTGATTCACAGCATGTACACTATGGGCGTTGCCAACCAAGCTGTTCGAGACGAAAGTGAATGACTACGTGGGCCAACTCTTTCGCCGTGTGTACTTGATGCTCTCACGGGAATATTCATGGCGATGGGTCGACGATGCAAGTTGAGCGGGGCGATGCTCGAGTATTTCAAGCTGGACGAGGGGGCGATCCGATGGAATTCCTCTAGCGCACGCCCTGACATGACATCGCATTGTCGGATTCCATCCGATCCAGTAAGATGCTCCTGGAGTTTTAGTCCCCACCGACGAACCGTGTTTGTGGTCTTCTACTGTAGTACACTACAAGCAGGCCGCCCTCGACGGCCAAAGCAATCATTCGTAGTACACTACTACTACGTGTATGTAGTTAATGGAGATAATACTGTACAAGTTCACATTGACGTACAAGGTTTTGGGGCAAGCCCAAATTGATTTCGTTCAGGAAATACAGATTGTGATGTATTAATTTGCATATATTTTGCTATTTTTGCAGTTTGTGCACCCAAACTTGCGAATACTGAGTTTGTCCTACAATTTTGTGGAGGGCTTTATTTTATTAGTAACGTTATTACATACTTTTTCTTTTGTAATAATAATAAAATAAAACCCTCCACACGAAAGATCAATCTCTCGTATATGTATGTAGTCTGGTGCAAAATATATGCAAATTAATACATCAAAGCCTCTATAAATTGATATTTCTAGAACGAAATGAATTTGGGTTTGCCTCAAAATTCTTCTATCCGGAAGAATTTGACTACTGTACCGTAGCTTATTTTCGTTTGCGAGATTTTTGGCAGTCGTCCATTATTTATATAATTGCCCTTTTTGTGCAAAGTCAATTGTAGTGTATTGTTATCGTTGAATCGACTAGACAGACTCTTACTCAATGCGCGTGACGGTGGCCAAGGGATGCTGCAGGGACGGGTTTGGCCATGGGCAGGGACTCGTGGTAGAAGCCCAACGCCTTCGCATGCTCCAGTTGATACGAGTTGACATCGGATTTCTAACGCCATCAACAAACTATTGTTAGTTAAATGGCCTTTTTTGGAGATTGCTCTTGAGTTTCCATGACACACGTACATTGAGGACCCGTCGCGTGGGTCCAGTGCTGCATATTTTGTGCACTGTGCTCAAGTAACTTTGCACGCGAAGCAGCGTTTCGGGGTCTGTGCTCGCAGAGGCCGTGAGTTCCACAAACGGAATGAGCACGCACGGATGCATGAAGCGAATGCCGAGGAAGTTGGCCGGGCGGAGGCATCCTGCAGCAATGTCGTTCACGTTCAACGATATGCTAGAGGTGCCCAAGATGGTCGTGGGAGGGGTCAGTCTCTCCAGTTCACGGAGAAGGCTCTTCTTCAATGCCAAATCTTCCGGAATCGCTTCGATGATCAACTGCGGCGCATGCTCCGCCACTCCTTCCAGCGTATGGACCCCGCGGATGTTCTTGACAGCATTGCCCACCATGATTTGAGGGATGTATCCCAGTCGCCACAATGGCTGCAGGACGGCATAGCTGGCGTGTCGAAGGGCGTCCGGCGTCGTGATCGTTGGGTCGCGGTCGAACAGGACCACTTTCACGCCATGCATCGCCAGATCAAATGCGATGGCACTACGCATATTCCAGTGGTGCCAAGAAAGAACTAGTACAGGAGGTGGCTTTGTACCTTCCTAGCAATCCAGCGCCGATGATACCCACTGTCGTGATGCCTTGCATGGAGATGCCACCGACCATGATGACACAAGATGCGCTTTTGTGATTCTGCAATATGATTGGTTGAAACTATTATGTAGAATCGCGATTGCATTGGCTGAAATGATTTCCATCGTAAGGTGTGTATTATTATTTCCGCCCGGATTGCTTTGCTTGGCGAATTTCTCAATTCTCCAATTTTCCTTGTAAATGTAAATTCCTCCCACATGTTTGACTTGAATAATGTATGCCAGATTTGAGCACCGAAATTCTCAGAACCTCTTAATAGTAATATTTATAAAGTGTACAGGGTATTGAATGTAGAATTCTCTTTAATTATGAGATTACATCAATTGTCAACGAAAGCAAATACTAAATGCTAAAGGTATTATTTACCTGAGTCCTAATTTTGTCCAATTATCGTCGTTTCATGATTCTGATTGGCTGCCAACTGGGTAGTACTCGCAGTATTTACAACACTATTCTTCATCGCCAGTTTCAAAAAACCATAAGCTAGCTGTCAGTGCCTCTGCAGCGATCCATAGCAGAGCCGCGTTTTATTAACGAATAGTACACGGAAGGGCATCCAATGACTCATGAACAGCCAACGCAATTGCATGTTATACATGCGATCAGTGGGAAGCACACTTTTCAATGGGATAAAATACTTGTGGGAGGCGACCGGTCGGCTAGCGTTGCTACGTAGTACTATACGTATAGTATTACCTTAGTACTGCTTTGACACTGTGAGTTTAACTGGAATGCCTGCGCCATGTACGTCACCAGAAGCTTGACGCTTGTGGTCAGAAGGTAATAGGTTGATATATCCGGAGTACATGACGCCTTTATGACCAATCAAATAGCATTATGTACGTAATCGGAGCTGGCTCTTTCAGTCCGCAGAAAGAACATCCAGCGCATGGAACTCAGACGGCAATGTTTAGAATTCCGTTTTATATTTGTTTCGAACACTGCACCACTGCAAATTTAAGGGATGTCAAGCAGGCAGTTACTACTACGGTATTAATATTGCTTCATAAGCTGCTCCCGTACAAATCACACTGAAGCTAGAGTAGCCCAGTAATGCGCAGCTGTTGAAGCTAAGTAGCGCAAAGGAACTCAATGTGGTCTCACAGTATGAGTTTCTTGCCCCATATTGTTGCGTCATGTGGAACGGAGGTCCGCTTGGACGTTAACAGTGAGGTTATTGGTTAGCATTAGTACATTTCAGGTTGAACTTTAAAGACGTTTAGAAGACGTTTTATAAAAGTTAAAAACGTTTGCTATCAGCTTTCCAAATCAAGACCAGCAAATTGTACTTTTTTTCTCTTGCAGTATTACACTTGGTATATGTATGGATGATTAAAAATTATTTACCGCCAACTCAATTTCCAATTCGAAATGGCTCCCACAGGCGAACCCGCGGGCGGCAGCGGCACGCCGTCGACACCCAGGGCAGCGACAACCACAAATGGAAACACCACGCGAGATTCCATCGGTTCGATCATGCACGAGTTCGTGGACTCGTTCCCGATCGATATGGATTCGCGACAGTCCATCTCGGACCTTGGCAAGGTGTTATTTGCGGATGGGAAGAAGGACAGCAGTGTAGCACCATCGACACCGTACGTTGAAAGTTGTTTTCGTTCATGGAGTACTAATGATCTCGTGGGCAACAGGAAAGTGCCATACCAAATGCCCAAAGAAATCAAAGGCATTCCGCGTCAAAAGCAGCAGGACGTTATGGGGATTACCGCGTCTGGTCGCGTGGCGCTGCCCCAAGGCAGTGTCCGCAAACTGCTGCAGACGCAAGGTACGTGTGTCTACACCTGTGTTTGTTACCGTCTGATGCCATGGTAGGTAAAGCCATCCCAATGCGGTGGACGACCGAGGAAGACGAAATGCTGCGCCAGGCGGTGGACACCCACGGCGAACGCAATTGGAAGTCCATCGCCGAGATCGTCCCGGGGCGCAACCACACGCAGTGTCTGCAGCGGTGGACCAAAGTGCTCGCGCCGGGCCTAATCAAGGGCCACTGGCGACCCGACGAAGACGACGTGCTGCGTCAGTTGGTCGCCGAAGGTCGCAAGAATTGGGGCCAAGTCGCGGCGCGGATTCCTGGACGCACGTCCAAGCAATGCCGCGAGCGCTGGTACAATCATTTGGACCCCAACATCATTCGAGGGTAAGGTATCCATAAACTGCAGCATACATCGCGTCCGATCGACGACGCTTGGGCAACGTGAGACTCATGTGTGCATGCTTTGTTCCTTGTGTGAGCAGAGACTACTCCATGGAAGAAGATCAAATCATCATCGAAGCCCAGCAGCGCATTGGGAATCGGTGGTCGGCCATCGCCGCCATGTTGCCAGGACGTACTGAAGACGCCGTGAAAATCCGGTGGAAGTCGTTGTGCCGCACGAAATCGGGGTACTCCATATTTTTTCATCATTGCAACATATGAGATTTCAATCGCAATATTTTAAACGTAAACCTGTGAGTAGCCGCAACCGCAAAGCCGCCCAGCAGGCGGAAAAGGACGGCAAAGTGTATGACCATCATGTGATGGGCCACCCCAACGGCGCTCCTTCGTACCACATGACTCTACAAGGAGGAGGGTACCCGCAACATCAACAGCAGCAATCGCCGCACCACCATGTCCTGGACGACCAGTACAAGCAACATGGGCAGCAGTACCATCATCATCAAACGATGTCACATACGCCACACGGGGGAAATGAAGGGTATCATCAGCCCCCTCCAAGAGACGTGTTCCAGTCGGCGTATCCCCAACAGCATCAGCAGCAGTCGCATCACCCACCCCAAATGCAAATGCATCAGATGGCCCCCCCCCACACTCCACCGAGCTTTCAGTCGTCGTCGTACAATGCATCCTTCCTCCAAAAGATGAACGCTCCCCCGTCTTATCTTCAACAACCCCCCCCCGAGTCATTCAATGCGTACTTTAACCACCACTCCCCCCACTCTGGATATGGCCGTCCAACGAACGGCGGTGCCACTCCAACGTCCACTGGTTACCAGCCCACCCCGTACCCGCCGCCGGCGCAGTCGACCCCCCTACCCCCCGACGCAATGTTTCATCCAAATGCCCACAACCTCCATCAACAGCAACAACATCACCAGCAGCAGCAACCATCTCCACTACCACCACCACCACCCTCGATGAAGGCGGAACCGACGTCGTTTCACCTGCCCGACGAGAACGGCAGCAGCAGCACTACCCCCTCGAACGGTGTCGCAGCGTCGTTTGCGTCCCCGAGGCATTCATTGGTGTCGAGCTTTGTCCAGTCTCTCAACACGCCGCTACCGTCCAGCGAGTTTGCGGCGACTCATCCCCGCCCGGCGGCCGCAGCGCTCAACTTTGCCGCGTCGTTCGCCCAAAGCCAGGCCCCCAAGGACAGACACCCGCCGGCCCCTTCTGCTATCAATGTGGCGGCGTCCTTTGCCAACAATCGCGCCGCTTCTTCGACCCCTCGTTCGGACAATGCAGCAGCAGACCCCGACCACAAGAGACCTCGACTGCCGGTCAATATGGACGCGGCCAGGGCCGCCGCCGCGCGCCGTATGCGACAAGGTGACAATCATGCCGATTTCATGCCGCCCGCCGACGTCGCTCCCATGGGCGGGGACATTCCGCGCATTTCCGTCTCGGATATCAACCTCAGCGAGCTCGGCCCCATCGAGGAAATGTGGAGAGTCTCGAGCGACATGAACCGCTTGTCCTTGTAAATAGTAGAATGAATACAGTGTACATATACATGGATGGCTATAAGATGATAATCAAAAAAAAGATTTGTTGTTTGAATATATTCAGTACTACTACGTAGTACAGTAGTATTAATACGTACAGTAGGATGAGTTGAAAATAAATTATGTTAAATATTCTTTTAAAAATAGTTATTTTAATTTTACCTTTATTCATAGCAATAGATTATTTTACTTAAGATTTTTAATTAAATTATTAACTTACCTCCGATTGGAAATGATTGATACTTCGAATTATTTATATGGATTTCAAATATCCGTGATAGTATCATGTGTCATCCAGACGTCATCCAACATTAATATTAGGTCATATCCTAATTAGTAGAGATGAGAGTAAATTAGGATTATGCTAGGTCATTGCACACAGGCCTCGTCCGGGAGCGGCACGGCCTGCGGCCTACCTGCCGCTGCCCGACAAGAAGAAAAGATAGATCATTCGGTGAAGTGAGAAGCTTAGATCCGCGCTCTTGTACGGCCGCGCTTGCGCAGACAGCCTCCCGGGCGCTCGGGGCCAACGTGAGGCTTGGTCACTACTA